AGGTTAGCTTAGCTTATTAAAGGCAGGAAAGAAGGGGGAAACAGCTAGCCAGGGTCTGTCCATAGAAAACAAAACCCAGCTACCAGCACCTCTAAAGCTCACTAACATGTTTTGGCCCCGATCACACAGAAAGCGTTTAAGCAGCTAGAGGCGGCTTTTTGTAATTGTTTTTAATGAGAATGAAGCATTTTGCTTGCAGTTTTTGTGTTGTGACACACCTGGCATTTCTGCACTCTAGGTGCCTGGTATTTCTGACGGAGCATTCTAAACTCCTTTAGTGGAAAAAACTTCAACTCAGAGTGGAAAAGCACCCCATGTCATCTTTTTTCTCATTGTCCAATCGGATGATTTGAGAGGCGGGCCTTCTGTGGTGGTCATGACAACAAGTTTACAGTAAGTAAACAATGGAGGAGCAATTGGTGGTAGTGGTTGCTGGATACCCTGAGCTATACGGCCCATCGACTGCCCCTGAGTCATCCTAAAATATGCCTGGAAGCGACCATCATGGATGCGAAGCTCCTGGACCAAGTGGTGGTACTCCCCATGATCTACCTTCTTTTTTAGGGTGTCATGTACCCACACAGATGTCTGTCTCCCTGTGCCCAACAAGTTACTTGCTGACACTAAATTCAGGAAGTAACTTCTGGTGTTATTAGTGGGTTGATGATATGAGTGTGTGTCAGAGAGTTTGCTTTTAAGGTGAAATCCCATCCAATGCCAGTTCTATTACCATCGTAGATTCATCCTTGATCAGCAAAGATCAGTATTGCAAATTACTTTTACATTTTTTCCATTGGTTTTTTGTTTGTGCTTATGCCAGTGGATGCTTGCAGTTTCTGAGGATAGCATTATTTTGATAAAGTACCTGGAAGCACAAGGATCCAGAAGCTTTCCATTGCCATTAACCACAAATCTTCACATTGCAAGTAAATAAACATCAATGGAAACGTCCCCTTGAGTTGCAAAGTTCTTTTGAACTGAGCTCAGAAAGATGGCGAGTGTGCACAGTGAAGGTCAAAGTCAAGGTCTGTTTGCAGACAATGCCGATGCTGAAGGCAGATAGACTGTCGGAGTGCCCTGCGTGGGGTCCGCCGCGAGGCTTTATTCAATGTGTGACATGCCCCAGTGTCGGCTATGCTGGGAATGTGGGGTCTTGAGGGGTGAAGGTTAGGGGTGAGTGGTTGAGCAGACACTGAAAACACAGCTTGAGTGTGTTTGTGCATTTGCATAAAATTGAGAGCATGCACATATGTGTGTGAGGCTGTGTGTGAAATCGGTAGTATATAATCTATACATCCTTTCTCCATAAGCAGTCCTTCGTATGTCCAGGTCAATAATCCATGTTTGTTCACCATACTCACTGTATACTTAGTTACTTCCTTGTGCATGCATGTGTATAAGTCTCACCACTTTGTGTATGTGGGCGTATGTATTCAGAGAGGGCTTACAGACACAGACCAGACTAAGACTGCAGGGTTCGGCCTGGAGAGCTCTGGGCCTCTTTGGGCTCAGCAGGGATTCAGCTTGGGAAGCACAGACTCCATACTCACACTCACACACACACACACACACACACACACACTCCTCTTCTCAATATAAAGATAGAGCAGCTTTTTGACACCAACAGAAACTTGTTTATTGAGTTTTATGGTTGCTAAATTACTGGGCTGTGTCACTGTTTGGTCAGAACTGTGGCATAATAATCATTTTTTTCATTATGTCCAAGACCGCACAGACCACCAACACATTTGTTTTGAGTGAAGCCCCCTTTTGTGTAACATTTCCTGGAATTGGCTTTTGGGGGAAAGAAACCAGGTTTCACAACATGATATCAAGCTGTTCGTACTATTATGACTTCTTACACTTCCATATTGTGAAATGAGCCCGATGAGCCCATTCACATTTCCATTGCAGACGATATCGTGCTCATCTTAAAGGGACAGTTCACCCCAAAATCAAAACTGCATATTTTTCTTCTCACCTGTAGATCTATAAATATAATGGAACTAGATGACACTCGGCTTGTGGTGCTCAAAGCACCCAAAAAAAAAACAAAAAACTCAACAGCAATGTCTCTTTCCAGAAACCATGACCTGGTTACTAAAGATAATCACAGACCTTTTTTTTTTTTTAAATGTAGGAACTGTTTTTGGTCTACCGAGTTACATCAACCAACAGTATCACCACTTGGAAGGAAGCGTGCATCTACTCATGCATGAGAGGCTCAAGACAGAGAGAGCGATGTAAACATTAAGGGGCTATACACATGCCCCATTTTTCGCACGCTGAAATTCATTGTTTTCAGGACTCTGCATGTCATGTGACGAGGAACATCACAGAACATGACAGATATTTTTCCCTTCTTCCTTAAATATCGGTCTGTGGTAAATATGGAAAAGTTGATCATTTTACTGCAGGGCTGCGAGAGATTTTCATCTGTCCCATGGATGATAGGCCTACACACTTATAACAGCGTCTGAAAGAAGATCAGGTCTGCACTCAGGATTTCAGGCAAATAGACTGATACGGTGCTTGTTAAGGTTGTTTAGCAAGACACAAGCTGCCACCCCACCCTGGAAAGCTGGAACAAAAAAGGCACAAAGCGGCACCCAGCGCCTGACATTAGCCATGTTTCCATCAGCCTGCTTGGATGTGCATCTAGAAGTATTGCATCGGAAAATTATGATGGAAACGCCAAAATTCAAATTAAAATCCCCTGATTTGCACAAACTAAAATACGCTCGCTTTAGCCGGGTTTTGGTTGATTCGAAAAAATGTTGATTCGCAAAATGGGGGATGGAAACAGTTATGTTCGAATTAAGTCTGACGTAGTGCACTTCTCTCCATGGTGATATCCACGCTCGGGGTCGCGAAGGCAGTAATTTACAAGCTGGTTGCCAACCGCCAGATAACATAGAAGAAGAAGAATGCGAGACTTGTTTTGTTTCCATTTCTGCGGAAAAACTCGCATGAGTTTGTAGTTTTCACCAAAGTCCGTACATTTAATGGAAACACACAGGATTCGTATTTTTTTAATGCACATTTCCCAATGATTCGACTCACTTTTGGATGGAAACATAGCTAATGTGTTTCCAGGCGGATAAAGAAGCGGCATGTGCACAGCCCCTAATGGTGTCATCCTCTGCTGAGCTGTAACATTAGCTAGCTCAGTGGTGCTAGATGAGCTAGCAGTAGATGCATGCTTCCTTCTGCATGGTGATATGCTTGGCTGGTGAAGTTCGGTAGAGAGAAAAAAGGGTTGTCATAAAACTGCTGGATTATCTTGAGTAACTGGGTCATGATTTCTGGAAAGAGACATTGCTGTTGAGTTTTGGCGCTTTGAGCACCACAAGCTGAGTGCCATCTATTTTCATTATATGGGAGAGAAGGCAGACATCTCTACAGCTGATATCTCCAGCATTCTGCAACACACACCAAATCAATCTAGACTGATAAGTAGCACTACAGGTAAGAGGAAAATATGTAGTTTTTGATTTGGGGGTGAACTGTCCTTTTAAACTTTCTCCTATCTGTCTTTTCACTGATGACGCTTCACAATATTCCAACATTGACTAAATGCTGTAAACAGGAAATAGCATGTAAATTGGACTTCTGACTAACTCTACCAAATGTAGTCACAGTTGGAGTTAGTAACAATTTAAAGGGATCTGTCATGTTTTTAATTCATACGATTTAATATTGCATCTGTGTGATGGATGTCAATAACGCAAACTGTTTGGAAGCTAACGAGACATGTCAGTTTGCACCTGTTCTAGTTGACAAAAAACACAAAATATTGCCGAGACCGGAGCAGAAAGTAACATAAAGGTGTGTTACAGTGTGTAGTACAGAAGCCAAAATGGACGCCTAAAGTAAATGTAAATATGGGTATGAACACAGAAGAACCTGTAATCTGTATATCAGGGGTGTCCAAACTTTTTTGAATGGGGGCCAGATAAAGCAATGTGAAAATACCTGGGGGCCAACTGATCCTCGCATCAAAAGTTTTTTTTGTTTTTTTAAAGCGAAACAAAGGCAACCATTTTTATCATATAATGAACTATTACTACTTGATGCCTGTCTACAATGTAGTGTATGATAGTCCTATCATTGTAAGGTGAAGGGTAAAAATGCAAAGTGATCTTGCTCGATTAACCATTGTTGTGTAAAGGACCACATATGGTATATTTTGAAAGTCAAGCCGAGGGCCGATTAAAATTGGTCTGCGAAACACAGAGGTGGCTGGTGTGGCACCATTATCTGGTGCACCAGTATAATTGTTATCACTAATTAAGTCTGGCTGCTGTTAGTGTTGGAGTTTGTGAGATGCAGAAACCTTTAGAGAAAAGAAGAGGAGGAAGGTAGAGGGTCTCACTTAAGTACCATCTGCAATGTACAGCCATGTTATCAATTTAAAAAACTATCATGATATAAATAATGTAACTAATAAAATATATTCAAGCAGTTTTAATGAAACGTTTTGGTTCATGTGGAAGTCAAAACCAGAGCTGGATCCACAAATAATAAAGACTATAGACACTGAGTTTGGTGCCATCTCCTGGAGGCTGAAACTGTGTTCAGATAGACAGGAGAGATTTTACAGTAAACTGCTAAATTATCACGCAGACACACAGTACTGTGTTTTAATTCAGTGCACATGACAAGATAGAAAATGTAATCTCGGACCAAACACATGCAGAGCATCCTCTCATATGAAATGTGCTCCAGTGTAGGATGTGACATCATTGTCATTTTTATAGGCTTCTGTTAAGTGTCCAGTATCTTTACACATATCTAAAATGTGTGAAGATCCAAAAATATCTAATAAATGCCACCCACTATACTTTTAGAGTATTTCTAAACATCTCCTTCTCCATCTGCAAGCTAAGGGTTAAGCAGCCAGCGCCTTACGCACAGGTGTCTCGCCAGTCCTCTCTATGCAGCAGCGCCTGCAAACTGTTGGCGAACTTTTTTTTTTCTTTAATTAAGTTGATCATAACTGTAACTCAGCTGGGATTTGCCGTCCGACCAGACAGGCCACTGTAATTCATGTAGTTAGATCTTAAGTGGGTTTGTTCACCGCGGCACTAATCTCTCGCTACTATTAAACGTGGAGCGACTAACCTGGAGAGCTCTGCACATCGACACGGGTCCCGCTTCTCTACGCTTCTATTCCGCTTTGCTTTTGCACCGCATCTGATTCCAGTGGTCTGAAAACTCATTACGCGACAGTTTAAAGATAGTTTATGATTTTATTTCGGTTTTAAAGTTGTTGATTTTTTGAGATTTTTAAAGCGTCCGCTCCGTTACGCATCGGATATGTGGTGGATGCTGTTTCCCCGATGGATTTGGTTTCTTCTGGGACATTGTTACACAGTACTGCTTTATATGGACAGCTGCCGTGTGAGAGCGATGCCCATGCCCATGTCTGTGGCAAAGGTGGTGTACTCTCACGCGGGTCTGTGCCCGAATGACCTGAACCCCAACCTGTGGGTGGATGCTATGAGCACCTGCATGCGCGAGTGTGAATCTGACCAGGTGAGTTGACCTGCAGCTGCATGTGCAATGTGTAGAGAACACAGGTCATAGACGCAGTTCGCCTGCAGTCATCTGGAGTCAGGGGCTGTTACATCCACGACCAATTTGCAATTCCTGTGTTCCTAATAAAAAATAATCTTAGGGTCATACAAGCTACAGTTTGAACTTAACTTTACCTCCTTCAAGTTTTTATTTAGGCTATGCTGCGCCATGCACCAAATATTGGCTAAATCTGATCCACACTGCAGACATTAAGGGAATCCTTTGATCTAGACACATCATGATTGTAATCTGGACATAGGTGTAGATTCCAGGGGGGATGCAGGGGACACGTTCCCCTCAATATTTAGACTATGTGCATGTCAGCAACCCTGCCTATGGCAATCAGACTGTACAGAACTGAATGAAATTAAAGATATATAGCTGAAGTTTTGGGGCTAATCTTGTTGTAGTGTTGAAAATTGCTGTGTGCATTAATCAACATTTTAACAAATGTACATGCACCCAAATTAGCTGAAAGGCTAGTTTTCATTGGTAGTCCCTTCACAACCTGTAAAAAGGCATCCTAAAAATTAAAAACAACCATAAAACACAGCATGTAAAACAGGTCAAAACATATTGCATTAGAGCAAAAAACACATCACAGTGTTTTGTTCAAGAAGGATTTCACCAACAATTTTCTCATGTTTGATCATGTATTTTAATTTGATTTGATTTATGTCAAACATTTAAAAAATAATAATAATATTAAAGAAAACAGAATATATGTTAAAAAACAAACAAACAACAACAGAGATAAACAAGAAATCATGAGCAGACTTACAATGAGAAACAAAGATTAACATTTCACGTCCGAAAAGCAGTAGGAAGAAGCAACATGCTCGTCTAGTCCTACCCCCAATTTCAAACTATACTATTCCATCACTAAGCAGACTATTTACTAATTCAAACTGTACACCAACTGTGAAAAAAAACCAGCAGTAAAAAAACTTTGTTTCTTCTCCAACTGTAGGACTGTGAGACATTCGAGAAGTGCTGCCCTAACGTGTGTGGTAACAAGAGCTGCGTGGCATCACGCTACATCGACGTCAAAGGCAACAAGGGCCCCATAGGAATGCCACAGGGCGCCACCTGTGACAAGTTCATGTGCTCTCAGCAAGGCTCCGAGTGTGACATCTGGGATGGCCAGCCTGTGTGTAAGTGCCGGGACCGCTGTGAGAGAGAGCCCCACTTCACATGCGCGTCTGACGGCATGACGTACTATAACAAGTGCTACATGGATGCAGAGGCCTGTTCCAAGGGTATCTCTATCTCTGAGGTCACCTGCAGGTAACATGTTAAGTATTTTAGATCTCTACTATTTTGTTTTTTGGTTTGATGAGGTAGGGTTGTCTTGTTTTAGTGCTCAAATTTTGTTCTTCTGGCTGTAGCACAGAAAATTAATGTGTATAATATGTCAATAGAGTGCTGCAGGGATGATGTTTATTTGTAAGTAAACACGGAAGTTAACGTTAATCTGATTCCCTCGATTCCTGGGATTTTTACTTTGGATTATTGTAATAAAGATCTCTGGCAAACAAAAGTTTATGATACTTACATGTTTTGTTTAGCAAATAAACATTAGTTTCATGATTTCTGAAGCATAAATGCAATCACCAGAAGTAAAAAGCTAACATTTGGATATAAACAATCTACACCGTGGTCCCATCACTTCAACACACCACAAAGAAGCTGTAAATCCATGTTTGGTGTGATGACGCTCTTTTGTCTCATTTAGCCACTTGTTAGCAACCGTCTTTTTTAAGACATGTAAGGGCTTCAAAATTTACAAGTGGGCTATCAACGGATGTATTTTATGTTGTAGAACAACACATGAAAGTCTCTTAAGCTTGTGTAAACTGCAGATCCTATTTCAGGCATCTAACCAAAAACAATTAAAAACAATGTTGACTTTGAGACCAGGGAAGTGCTAAAATGCTAGAAGTGCTAAAATGCTAACTTATCTGGGTTTTAGGGATAGAAATGAGATAGAAAGTATTGCTGTGGCTACCGCGACATCACCCATTGGTCTGTGGACTCTTGTTCAGAAGTCTTCAGTTTGGCATTTTGGCCATCATCATTTTGGGTTTTTGGAGCCAAAAGTGACAACACATTCTCACTCTGATCTCGTCACATATCAGCTTTTGGTCATGGACCTTCCATGTCCAGATGTGATGTGCAAGGTACCCTGGGTGCATTGGTTGTTGACCTTCTGGGACGCCATGTCAAATTATGCCTGTTACACGCATCTTGCCGTTAAACTATAAGGGTGACCAGCCACATATAATGCCAACATTAATGGATGGCTTATTTGTCAGGGTCTGACGAAAGTCACTGCCTAAACGCCGGATTTCGATGACTTTGGGGTGAGACCAGGTTGGAAGTGACCATATTTGGACAAGAGGTTGGAGCTTTGGAGAAGTGAGGGGTGGATCTGTCTCGCTGACTGTAGCAATGCCTCATTATTTCTGCTGTAAAGTCGAGCACTTTAACATGGGTGTCTGTGGGGACTGACTTGCTTCAAGAGCGAGCCTTACGTGGCCATTAGAGGAACTGCAGTTTTTGGCACTTCCACATTGGCTTTACTTTTCAGCACTGGAGGTTGCTACTTGGTTTTAGGACTCATTCCTGCAGCACTCTATATAGTAATTAAAGAAGAGGTCATATTATATCATGGCTCTGATTAATTCCTTTCTTATTCCACCTACCTACAGGTACCACCTGACCTGGCCAAACACCAGTCCAATCCCAGCAGAGACCACCTTACATCCCACCACTGCCCTCCAGACCACCCTTCCAGCTGACATCCAGCTCCCCACCATACACAGCGGCCCCACTCAACAGGCTGTTTTTGTGGGTGAGACAGCCAGCTTCCTTTGTGAGGTGTCCGGGAAGCCACAACCAGAGATCACCTGGGAGAAACAACTGAAGGGCAAAGAGAACACCATAATGAGACCCAATCATGTCCGAGGGAACGTCGTGGTCACTAACATAGGCCAGCTGGTCATATACAATGCGCAACTTCAGGATGCCGGTATCTATACATGTACAGCCAGAAACGTTGGGGGAAGTGTATCGTCACACTTTCCCTTGGTAGTGATAAGGAAGGAGGCGAAAGGTAGGAATGCAGAGGGGAACAGTACCAAGCTGCCATTTCCAGCTGAAGAGTGCCTTAAGAGTCCAGACACAGATGACTGTGGAGAAGAGAGCATGAGCTGGTACTATGAACCAAAGAGGAACAATTGCTTCACCTTCACCTACAGTCAGTGCAATAAAAACCGCAACCATTTCGACACCTACGAAGCCTGTATGCTGTCATGTGGAGGAGAGCTGGCAGCTCCCTGCAGCCTACCGAGCCTCCAAGGGCCCTGCAAGGCCTATGAGCCTCGCTGGGCTTATAGCAGCAGTCTCAAAAAGTGTCAGTCCTTCGTGTATGGAGGCTGTGGCGGCAACGAGAACAACTTTGTGTCCAAAGAAGCCTGTGAAGAGATGTGTCCCTTTCCGAAGAACCACAACTGCAAGGCATGTAAACCTCGAGCCAAGATGGTCACCAGCTTCTGCAAGAGTGACTTTGTGATCCTCGGGCGTGTGACCGAACTGACAGAGGAGCAAGAGTCAGGCCATGCTTTGGTGACAGTGGAGGAGATCTTGAAGGATGAGAAGATGGGTCTGAGGTTCTTTGGCAAAGAGCCCCTGGAGGTGACACTTCTGAACATGGACTGGAACTGCCCCTGCCCCAACGTCACCACAGCCGATGGGCAGCTCATTATCATGGGAGATGTTCAAAATGGGATGGCTGTCCTGCAGCCTGATAGCTTTGTAGGCTCCTCTAGCACCCGCAGAATCAGGAAGCTTCGTGAGGTTGTCCACAAGAAAACCTGTGATTTCCTTAAAGATTTCTCAGCTGTCCAGTAGTCTTTTAAAGTCTCACACTCACTGAACGTCTGTTAATGTTGTTTTCTGATTATTCCAAGCTCCAGTGACCTCACCAGTCTGATCGACTGCCAGCAAACATAAAACAAGTAACTTATCTGTGACGTTGGAGGTTTTGTTGCCGGTTTCAGGTGCGTTTCTTTACTTACTCTGTTTCTTCTTGTTCAGCAGATCTCAGAAAATCACTCCTCGTAGTTCACACTCTTGCCTCTGATCATTTGTGTCATCAGTTTTCATTCATAATTTTGTCACAGATGCTGTGTCAAAACTGTCCTTACAGCTCTTTTTGAAATTAGAATCAAGCTTAAGCAGTTTTGATGTTCGCACCTAGGGCACACTGTCTGGAAAAGGCAGGTAGAGTAATTAGTCACAAGCATTTACCCTGTACAAAGTATTTAATCTCTGCAACTGTTTACTAAAATTGCATCATAGATTTCCCATCTATCTAATATCATTCATTTAGCGGTATGTTTTAATATGATTGCTTCATTTGTTTGACGTTGTGTAACCTCTGTCCGGAGCCCTTGAGCTCACAGTATTGCAATTTAAAGCCTCAGTATATTTACCAGAATCAGATAAGCTCTTTGGTTCCATATTTTTGCGGAATCTATTTTGATAAGTTTTAAACGTTCAGTGTGTTGGATTTAGGGGGATATATTGGCAGAAATGGAATATAATATATAAGTATGTTATCTTTAGCACCTGCAAATAAGAATTGTTGTGTTTTTGTTACCTTAGAATGAGCAGTTTATATCTACATAGGGAGCGGGTCCTCGTCCATGATGATCGCCATGTTGCACCACCATGTTTCTACAGTTGCCCAAAACGGACAAATCAAACACTGGCTCTAGATAATGCCATTCACGTTTTTGTGTCAGCTACCGTAGTTAGCAACCCCCTCATGCAACACATTCTCACTCCGACCTCGTCACATATCGACGTTTGGTCATGGTGGTTCCATGTCCACATACGATTTAAAGGTACTCTGGGTGTGTTGGACCCTTCCATCCACCCTACTTGGACTTTCGCCGCCTTAACTTTTGTTCCTGTCCCACTGCGTTTCCGTATGATGCGGCAGAGCGCCATTAAACTGTAACTGCAGCTGGCTGTGTATTATCCTGACGTTAAAGGACGGCTTTTATCGTCAGTGTCTGATGCTGCAAGTCACTGCCCAAGCACTGGATTTCGATGACTTCGGAGTGAGACCGGGCTCCTCCGTGATGAGAGCATTGGAAAAACTAGTGTAAATAAACAGGTCCTTTTGTTTTGAAAAGGAAGAGACCTCGGGTAATTCAGCTCCCAGTAAAAACCTCCTGAACGTCTGGATCTCAAGTTATCCAGGAAAAAAGGTGCGCACACATCAACAGGCTAGGCTAGTGGCCCGAGTGCGACATAGGAGAAACAGAGTTGTAACTTGAAACTCCTTTATTCAGTGTTTTTACTGGTTTAAATCATCAGGTGCATTTGTTCAGCTCCCAGTAAAAACCTCCTGAACAATTAACACTGAAGGAATTCTAACCAGGAGAAGTTTCAGCTGGATGCAATCTGCGATCCTCACCACTAGATGCCACTAAATCCCCAAAATCTTACACACTGTTCCTTTAATTTACAATACAGAATATGTATGTGGATTTCTGTACTTCGTATTTATTTTTCTTGATCTATTTCTTATAGGGCTATGGTCAGTGGATATATATATATATATATATATATATATATATATATACAGTACATATATGTATACATAATATACATATATATATAGTATTCAGGCAGAAAGTCTCTCTGAATCTAATTACATAGAGAGCAGACATATGTTTATGTTATTGATGATATATTGGTGTCTGTTTGAACTTTTATGGAATATGATGACAAAATAAATAAAGATGATTTAGACAATACTACAGATGTCCTTGCTTTGTGATGTTGTGCTGTTCCCTGTGTTGAAGACAAAATACCCGACATGCTCACAGCTTATCAAAGGGCTCCTGCAGGCAGTGCATCCCTCCATCCATGTCCTCCTCCTTCCACTTGTATTTCACACACACACACAGGGCCCAGTCTAAAGCAGGTCACATTCCAGCCCAGCTGTGGTGGCCCGCAGAGCCGTGTGTTGTGTTGTGTCTGGGTCTGGGGCCCTCGCATAGCACACACCCCACCGGCCATCTATTGGCCTTGGGCGGCCCCTTTCATGTGCAAGAGGCCGGGGTGAAGGGGAAGAGGAGGAGGAGAGGGATGTCGGCTGATTCCCTGTCTTTCCCTCTCTCAGTTGGCCACATCTGTGCTAAAGGGGCATAACAGAGAACAGTGAGAGGGGAATGGAATGAGAGTAAAAGTCAAGCAGAAATTGGAGGAATGTAACCCCTAATGTTAGGATAGAGCTTGCTGCTTTATTATCTCCTGTAACACAAACGCGTTCTGTTGAATCTGTAGCTTTAGGTGCTGGAGCTTGGGGCTAAATCCTTGTGTTAAAGAAATTAAGACACTGGAAAAATTCAAACATGCATAAGTAGAGGTGCAAACTGTTAAAATGGCAGGTGAGAATCAACTCAGGGTTGACAAACGCTCGAGCTGTGGCATACCTTGAGCACAAGATTAGTCACCAGGACCAGCAGGGCATACAGGAAACAGAACATAAGGAGCCAACTAGCCGGTGAATGTTTTCCCCCTTCCCCCTCTGCCCTCACATCCCCTTTCTCTAACCCCTTTCCTCAGTCCTCTTCCTCAACTGCCTGCCCACTCAGACCGCCAGCCAGCCAGCCAGCCTCGAGTGGCGACCTCTGACCCCGCAAATGAAAAAGAGGCCACCAAGGAAAAGACCACTTTCATTAGAACTGTTGACAAGTGTTAATTGACTGGCTGAGCTCCAGACTAGCTCCGCACAGAACCCCTTGATGCTCTACACATCACAGCCTGCTGCTGATTTCAGTATCAAGTTCACGAGACCACCAGCCAGGCAGCCTGCCAGACAGACCATAATAATAAGCCAGACAGCCGCAGGCACAAAGAGAGGGGGGGGGGGGGCACAATGCCCTCAGTGACACAGTATCCGTGAGGAACTCGGTGGTGTTCAGAGGGATGCTCGACTTTCTTTCAACAAAACTGATGCACAGAAATCGGCATTGATTGTACATTGTTTGTCTTGCTCAGGATACTGACATGATTTTGACATTATGTACGCTTAACCAACACATCATATACAAGCTTTGATGCACAAGTTAGGTGAAGGCAACTCCATTAATCATCATATATCATGTTTTTATTCCAGGTATCCCTGTTAAATGTTTCTTGCCTATATAACCCACAATGCAACAGTTTGGCAGAGACTGGCCTCTTTCATGGCAGACAATTTGACATGTCATAGTAGGAAAAGCACAGGTGTATTCAGCAACATTGATGGTGGCTGCATTCCATTTAGCTTACTGGCACACTTAATGGGACTGAGCCATTGTTAATGTTGTCAGCTTCACCAATGCTTTTCCGACTATGACAAGTCAAAATGTCTGCTGTGAAAGAGGTCCATTAGTGTGTCATGGTAGTGGGTAGCCTCAAGCTTCCCCTTTGATCTGATATGTCAAGACTGATGAATCATTTTTGTGCAAGTCTACAATCTACTGTGTGTACTAGGAGACGTATACACTGTAAAATATATATACTTTTTTTATATATATTGACAGCTCTTGACCCATTTTACATGCAGGTGGTTTATGCTGGTGAGCTGATGTGTCCACACAGTGAGGGAAACTACAAGCACACATTCACTCACACAAACACACACATGCACTTGTACTCCTTTTAATGCTGTGTCTGACTTATCAATGTCATTTCTGTTTGTCATCGATGCTGCTCTGTTCTGTTCCTGGGCGGTCCGGACTGCTGCTCTCCCTGCCTTAGGCTTTCCATGTAGGTGCATGGAAGGGCAGGGAGGTTTATTCTCTCTGCCTCAGGAAGAGGAAAGTCAGAGAGGCCCAACAACAGAGCCATACTGCCAAATATAATACTGCAAATGGAAATAAAGTTTTATTTGACAAAAGCGTTCCTGACTGAAATAGTATATGTGATTTAGCAAGATCACTTTGCATTTTTTTCCATTCACCTGATTATGGCAGGACTATTGGACAGTTTGTAGACATGCACCAAGTAGGACCTGCTTAGGTGAAACTAATGTGTTTTCATGAACAGATAAGAAACAATTGAACGGTTACCCAACTGCAGACATTTCCTGCTAGGTAGCAGACATGGTCACAGCAAAGAAGCATTAAGTTGACAACAAGGTTAAGCACCAGGGGTCCGTCCCAAGTCTCTTATTTTTATAGTGCTACTGCTAGCTCCTTGCTTGAACCAGAAGTCGTTCGAGGTCCGCCATCTTCTAGGCCGTCCCAAGTCTCTTATTTGTGCAGCGAGGAGCTAGCGTTAGGAGCTAGCAGCAAGCTTTAAGCAGCTACAAGCTAGGATGGTCGAGAGCTTCCTATCCGGAAGAGTTTTTCAGCTGAACGCAATGACGTATAAATACCCGCCCTCTACATCTGGCACATTTGAACGAGATGGCGGAGAAACGGTACAAGAGTAAGTACACGTTACATGCATTCTTTGCAATGAATCGCTGTAATTCATGTACCTACTTCAAAGAGTAATGATATTTCATGCAAGATTGTTATGTTGCAATTAGGTTTATTTCAGTCACATCCCGTTGCGTTGTTCATCGGACTGTCGGTGATGTGCGGCTGCTACATGCATAAGTGTGTGACCAGAGTCATGACGGCGGGGGGTGGGGGCTACTGATTTGGTCAGCGAATATAATGAGACTTGGGATGTATCCATAGTAACGGCAGATGCTGGCTGCTTTACGGAGCAGATCCAGCGGTGCCGCCGTCATCTAGAATGGATGTCGCTTCACATGACGCTTCAGTGGAAAGGACGTCTCATGTCTCTTAAACCGACAATGCTCGCTCATCGCTCCTAGCGCTAGCTCCTCGCATTTTTTCCTAGGTGGGAGGG